AGTTATAGAATTAAGTAAAGGTAAGAGGAAAAACTACTGATAAATAGAGGATAAAATAAAAAAAGAAGGGAAAAGCCCCCCCCCCCAAAAATATAGAGAGAGTGAAAATAAAAGAGAAAAAAATTCTCTGATTTCAAATGAGACATTTTCTTCCAAGGTCTAATTTTGGGGTTGTATCCAATTTGAGACATGTTCCTGCTCACTCTGGTTGATAAAGAAGGCAGTCTGAGTCCAGATTCATGGTAGATGCAGTCATCAGCAAGCCATTGGATTAGGGTAAAAGTGCTAGTTCTGCAACTTTCAAGTCCAGCTTCAGGCTGAGCCTGTCCTCTAGCCCTAGGGGTGGGGCCTGAGTCCTTTAGCTTAAACCCCTCTGGTGGTCTCTTGCCAGCTGGACTTTGGCTCCCTGACCATGACTGTCTCCTGTGGCTGTCCCTCATCAGTCACTGTGGGAGCATTGCCTTGGGAGCCCTGAAGTGAAGCCAACCCATGGCTGCTCTGAGTCCTAGGTTCAGTCAACCCCGTCCTGGAATAGAATCTGAACACTTTGCAGGGGATATGGCAGGCACCAGCTGTTGCAGCATGCACCATCTGCTGGTCTGTTTCACTGCTGCATTTCTCCCTGAAGGGCTCTTGAGTCCCTGCTTTCACTTTGTCTCTATAGATTTGGTATTTCTTTCTCATTGAACCAGGAGCTGGAAAGAAAGTACACATTGTCCCCTCTGTTTTCCACGTTGTGTTTTACCTCTTCATTTTCTCGGTAGGCTTCATTTTTTCCTGTCAGATCCTTCCTGGGTCCTGGGGATCTACCTCTCTCCTTTTCTTCCCCACTTTGTTATTTTCCATTGCCTTCATTCCAAATCTTGGAGAGGCTGGATTTTGTTGTGCTTACCACTCTGCCATTTTTCTGGAAGTGCACAAATCTTGTCTTATTTTTTAAAGTGTATTCTGTCTTGGCAAATTCAGTGTGTGTTTTTAAATAAAAGGTGTATACTTGTGTGTGTATGTGTGTGTTTTACACCTTTGAGATATACCCATTGCTCCCTGTGTACTCTTATTTTTGTGGGAGGGAATATTCTGGAAATTTCAAGTCAGGTTAGTTGATGTGGTTCAAGAATTATATATCTCTACTCATTTTCCATCTACTTGTTCTGTGAAGTACTGAAAAGTGTTGAAATCTCCATGTGGATGTGTGAGTTTATTCATTTCTCTTTTCAACTCTTTTTGCTTCATTTGATGTGCAGCTCCTTTATTTCGTTCCTCCATCTTCAGTTTTTTTCTGGCTCTATCCAATTACACGTGTTAAATTGATTGATCCTGACACAGGTCATTCTAATTTATACATTTCTAATGCATAAACAACTTAATAGAAAAATGAACTAGAAAAGTCAGGATATCTCTTAGAAGAAATGTAAATGACTAAACCATAAGAAAAGGTGCTAAAATTACAGAGATGCTCTTTCCTCATCTGTAATACTGGGGAAAAGTCCATAAGTATGAGAACTATATGTTGGGAGGAAAGGTAATCTCATGCTGGAGTGAATGCAAAATGATACAACCGTCACAGAATGGAATTTAGCAATATCTATTAAAGTGACATACTCACTTTGAGCTAGCCATCCTACTACTCAGAATCTGTCTAGGTAGCACACTGTTTATATTCTTTTTTTTTTTTTTGGTACCAGGGATTGAACTCAGGACCTTGCTTTTGCAAGGCAGGCGTGGTGTCATTGAGCTAAATCCCTGACCCAGACACTGTACATATTCAAAAGGCTAGATACACAAGCCTTTCTAGTAGTTTTTTATTTAAACAAGGCTACTAACAACTCAAATGTTCATCAGTAAAGCTCCAGTCAAAAGGTGATACATCTACGTAATAGTGTTCCATGTAGTTGAAAAAGAATGAAGAGACACCTGCTTTTAAGTATAGCATCTACTTAGATTCTCATATTTTTCAGTATTTACACCAGCTTATTCTTCTAGATATATTCATCCCAGTTACATAAAACATTTTAAGGGTTTTTAGATACTTGTGACTAAAACAATTATACTGGTTGCTTGCAGAATTTTGGAGGGAGGTTGTGATTTATCAAGTAACGTCTCTTCTGAAAGTTGCCTAGAATATAAGATAAACAATCACATCTGCACAGAGATACCATGTGTGATAAATAAGTTCCCCAGGTCACAGGTAATAGAGTGCAACCATGGGAAAGAACATTTGCAGTTTTAAATTGGGGTACAAGGTCCATTTCTCCAGTTTGTCTCATTTTGACAACTTACTTGTTAATTTATCACACAGTTACTGAGTTTTGCATTTTTTTTTTAAACGTGCCAGTAAGGGAGTCTGAATTTGAGTATGCTAGTGTTGAGGGGCTGGGTCTCAGAAAATGAAAACAACAAGTAACACCCCAGTGCTCAGGGAATTCATGGCTACCAGCCTTGACTTTTACTTTCTATCTATACAACTCTGTGATTTTATTTTATTTTATTTTTTATTTTTCGTACTGGAGATCAAACTTGGGACCTGTGCTTGCAGAGGCAGGCGCCGGAACCACTGAGCTAAATCCCCGGCCCAGCTCTGTGATTTTAAAATTTTAACTTTAAACTACTGACGTTAGATCCTGTGGTCATGGATTTATTACAGTCCAAATCCTGGAGAATGAAGAATGATTACTTTTGCAGAGTAGAAGACTAGAGATGAGACCACTCATTTTCTTCCAGATCTTTTATTCTTAATTTCCACTATGCATTACATGGTTGACCCTTTTCTCAGTACTATATATAGATGTTAATTTGAAAAATTATATTTGCTACTTACTGAATAAGCCATCTTTAGGAACTCTCATAATTCTAAAATGTTTAAAAGTTTTTTTAAAAGATAAAATTATATTTTCTAAAGTGATGATCATTTTGCTCTCTTTCTAATGCTGAACTCTCTTGTTCCTCTGACTTTATCACCTAGTACTCTTAATGTTGATGATGGGCATCAATGTCTGAAATCCGATTTTACTGTTATATATCCCTGGTATTTTGTTGTTAAATGTGATACTGTCTATTGGTTTGAAAAAGCTTTTAAAAAGTTCTAAAGGAGATTATTTTTCTAATCAGGACTAAATACTTTAGTACCATTTATTAGATTTCTTTTATTTTTATTTTTTTGCTAGGATATATTATATTTCATAGGATCAAATTGCCTATGATGTTGTTTAGCTAGTCTTTCCATTTTTGTTCCTTGTTCCTGTTAATCTGAACAGGAACTCTGTTCAGATTAACTTTAATCTGAATTGCTATATCCAGATTCTTTTTCCAGAAATTGTTTTGATCATGTTATACTTTTATCCCAACTAATTGTACCACTGTAACTTCATTCTATGCCATGTAGAGAAGAGCCTAAACTTCTCAGGTTATTTATTATTTTTGTTTCTTGTTGATCAGGGCATTTGCCTTTGCTTCCCCTTCCCTTAAGATCTGTGAGACTTGAGGGTCATACTGTGTTTGTAAACTACCATGTTATCCTGTGGATCCTGCCAAAACTCTTGTTTCCTAGGTTAGAGTCAAGAATAGTTTAGACTTACAGCACTTATAGTAGCAACAATTGTTCTTGTACTGTTTTTCCAGGCCCCAATTCTCAAGTGTTGATGTAATGAGAGAAGGGCAGGTTACAACTCTGTAAGTGGTCTCTGTTGCATATCAGGAAAGGACCCTGAACATTTTCTGGAATCTCAGTCTGCTTATTCCTTTGTTTCCACTTCCATTCTGTCCCCAGAATTTCTCTCTACATCATTCTAGTGTACAACTTCATCTCAGACAGATACTATCTTTCATATCTCTCATTGTAGACCTTGTCTTTGAATTGATGTTTATCAGGTAAGCATCCCCTCCACTATGTTCTCCTCTCGTCAGATACCCCAGTGACCCTGCTCCGTTTGCACAGTGCCTTCCATGGTTTCCTCTTACGCACATTTATAAGTCCTGTTGTCTTCTTTGCCGTAGTGTGCTTTGGTCAGTGTCTTTGTAAACAATACCTACAGATACTGGTTTCTTTTCTGGTCTCTCATACAATCCTTTAGGTTAGTATATTGCTCAGAAATGTGTTGCAAGGAACAGACAACCTATCCCATAATGAGTGTAATAGAAATTTATTTCTCTCTCTGTGTGTGTGTGTGTGTGTGTGTGTGTGTGTGTGTGTGTAGAAAGTCTGGAGATAGATAATTTCTGGTGTTGATTCAGCTTTTTAGCATCCTTTTCTAAGCTTTTTCAAAATGCATTTCTTAGCATTAGAAATTCTTTTATCTATGTCTGTAATTCCAAATTATATTCTTTAAATGACAAAGTTTTCTGTTGTTCTAATTCCCCAAGTGAAAATAATTCTTCCTTTGTATTCTCATAGGCAGTATTAAGCTAGAAAATGACCTTTATCACTAAGTTATCTGTATATGTTTTATCTTACTTATTGGAGTATAAATTCCTCCTTTGTAGTGTAACTTTTGTTATTCTTTGCAAAGTGCCTTAAGACATTCATGATTTGGCTGTAATTTGTATGTCTTGCTGCTGGAACCATTGAACCACTAATGGTACATACATGACTATCTTGTACATGACTGTTCTGTTCTACTACCAGTGGTACAAGCTGCCCAATGGGACAGTCATGCACGATCCACCAGTGGTTCAAGTCAGTGGGAACGTTTTAAGGTTGATATAGTTAATTTACCTGTTGCATGACTAATAAAGGATGAGTGAATATCCGTGTAAGAAATCTTGTCTCTGATAATTAGAGCTTAGAGAAAAGATCTGTTGCCATGTGTGTGAATGGGCAGTTACCAGTGCAGAGATATTAATATAGAGGAATAAACTTACATATTGCTGAAAAGAACATCTTTATTGAGTAAGTTAATTTCTAAATACACACTTTTTTTTAATGTTAGCAGATGTTTTCATGTGCCATCAAAATATAATACTGTTATATCTGGAAATAAAATGGAAGCTGTTCTTTTTTTCAGTGCTTAGATGAATATGAAGATGATGAAGCAGGGCAGAAAGAGCGGAAAAGAGAAGATGCAATTACACAACAGAACACAATGCAGAATGAAGCTGTGAGCCTATTAGATCCAGGCAGTTCCTATTTGCCACAGGTGAGTATTTAAAAGTACCAGGGAGTTACTAGCTATTTTAGCAGTTTTAAGTTGCTGTTACTAATTTTTCCATTCTCATTTTGATAGCATCAACTTCTTTTAAGTATTTCCAGTGGATTTAACTACTTGTTTTCCCTGTATCCAAATACTTTTTGACTTAAGCAGTGTTTAGCTCTTAGTTCCTGATCAGTGAATATTTGTTAATTGACTAGCAGGTTTAAGTAATAACAACTGTAAAAATAATAAAAATAATTACCTCCCTACTGTTAAAAAAAAGTAAGGTAGTAAATAACTGAATGGCCAAGTCTGTTCTAGATAGATTTTTGAGTTAGAATTATAAAGCAAATAAAAAACTGAATAGATTATTTATTCCAAGTCAAAATTTAAACATAGTAAACACAATTTATAGCATTGTAATTGCCAGAAACATCTATATTTCTGTGAAATTACATTTTTAAAATAAAATTTAACTCAGTTTCAAATTAGTTGTTATTTTGGATTTTGGTACAGAAACTTGGGTTTATGGTAAATGGTGTAGTAGGGTAGCTTTAGTATAAAGCAAATCATTGCACAGAATCTTTTTTTGGGGGGAGGGGGCTAAGTATTGAAGCCAAGGCCTTACACATCCTAAGTATGTCCTATACTACTGAGCTATTTCTTTAGTCCCAGGATCATTTTATATAAACTGTAATTTAGACATCATCTTAACAAAATCTAGTCTTAGATTATTTTTGTGACATTTGAAATCGAGTTCTTTCTCAACTTTCTAAGTGCATTTCATTGACACTTTAAGGTGGATTTTAGAGGAGTACACACATCTCCCCATTTTACTGGTGAAAAGATGAAATTAACTTGGAAGGTTATGACAGCATTTGGCAGCAAGAGGCATGTATTTTGAAATGATTAGGAAGTACAGATACAAACTTCATTCTCCTTTACTCTTATAGGCAGGATGTACTGATGTGATGCTTCATGGGATTATGTGGGTTTATCTGTTCCCCCTTACCACCTAAAGTTGCGGCCACTATAGATGATAATTATCACAGCTCTAGGAGAAGTATCTCATTGAAACATGGTGTAAGGTAACAACCAGTATTTCTCTTAGCATCTTTGATTGTTTATAATCTAAAATATCTTTGTTTTCTTTTGCCTAATAAAGTTGAAATTAAATTTGGATTATTTCAATGAAGACTTCCCACAAGATGAAGGCTTAATTTATTGGTCTAGAGTTAATGTAGCATTTTAATTAAGAGACTAGACCTGGTTCCAGTTCTTGGCCATGTTACTACTTGCTTTGGTATAGTCAACTAGTGGCATACTCAGATAACATCAGGCAGTAATTTTAGAAAGAGGGCCATTTGGTTTCTGTCGAATGAAAACTATAGAGTACTCACAATCTGATATCCCCAAATATATAGATATAGATATAGATATAGATATAGATATAGATATAGATATGGAATTCTCCTGATCTGGACCCTGAAGAGGTTTCTGCTTCATTGAGTTTGCCTTCTTTCCTGAGGCTTTTTAAATTTGTTCTCAAACCTACTGTTCATTTCTCCCATTTTTGTTTGTTTGTGTATTTTATTAGTAATTGGTCACTCATTGATGACCTTGGCTTCATCAGTCTATTTTGTCCAGGTTATTTGTTTAATATGACAGTGAGGCTAACTCTCCTATGGGACTTCCTATTTGCTTCATCAAAGTTGGAGTGGGAACAGGAAATGTTCTGCCCACATAGTTGACCTTTTTCTGGGTTACTATTTAAATTCACATATTTTGTTACTTATAAAAGAAAAACATTTGTTAACTCTGAAATCAGAACAACTGACAGAATGAATAATGACATCATTGGTCATTTTAAAGCCTCTTTGAATAGGATAGAGAGAAAGACTGTTCTTAGCATGTTTGTGAATCTGAACCATTCAGTGAAATGGATCATAAAAATGAACAAAAATGAGAATGAGTTTCGCATGACAGTATGCTTTATGAAAGGTTTATGAAATGATATTTTGATTAAAATTTTTCAAGTAATACAGAATGGAAATTCAGAAGTTTTCTTATTTTAACTATGACTTTATATTTAAATTTGTATAGATAATTATATTGGTTTATCCAGTAAAATTTCATGTTTTGATTAAGTGATTCATGATCAGTGGAATTTGGAAAATAATAAAACATGTGAAAAAGAGAAGTGCTCTGGTTGGTCAGTTTCTTTATGAACTGTTTTTCTATGAAGTATTTAAATTTTTAAGCTTTAAACTTAATATATTGCCAGGTACTGTGGCATGCACCTACAGTCCCAAGTATTTGGGAGGCTGAGCGAAGGACATTGAGAGTTCAAGCCAGTGTGGGCAATATAGAGCCAAGACCCTGTCCCAAAACAACAAAAGTCTTTTATTTAAACTTGTCTTTAAAAAAGATAGACAGTCAGATGGTAAAAAGTGCAAAAGCACAAAAGGGTATATGGTCAAATGTGTCTTTCAGCTGTCTGGTAACATGCTCTGGAGGAAATAACTAATGCTTTCTTTTTCTTTTTCTTTTTTTTTTTGTAAAGCCTTTCAGAACTAGTTTATAAACATAATTTTATCTATAGCCATACCTATATATCTCTGTATCCCTTATTCACTTGATTTCACTTAAATGGTATTTTAAGCATGTCATTTTACATCTTGTCCTTTCAATTAATATTGTGGACTTCTGTAGTAGTACATATAGATTGAATGACTTTCTTTTTTCTCGAATGCAGAATATTTCATTTAATAGATTGCTATAATTTTTCTAACTACTCTTCATCATTAAAGTTGCTTATTTTTTGGTATTAAGCACAATGAAATGAATCCCTGGATATTGATTCACAATACCCTAGGAGGCCCTTCTTGAGCAGAAATCCAAGGGACTCTGTTTTGAAATAAAAGGTTGACACTTTTGGACCCTTAAACCTGCAATAAATAGGGGATTGCTGATTTCTGAGATGCCCTCAAGGCATCTTTCTTCTTGTGCCATACAAGTATTTGTTTTCTTTTTAATGGAGCTAATGACTTCAGCAGCCATACCTTCTTTGGCCCCAGCTTTACACAAGGGTTTTTTCTGCTCTGCTTTTTGCCCTGATTCTCACTGTAAATCTGGCTAAAAAGAGTCTGCAATGTTGGGCTGCTTTGAAATTTCATTTACAACAATTAGTGCACACCCTTGCCTCCTTAATCTGAGTCTGCTGAAAAGTCCCAGGATATGGGCAAAATGTAGGTAAGTTTTCTGCCAGAGTGTAACACATGTGGCCTTTAGTTCAACTGTCACTTGTTCCCAAGTGAAACCTCCTGAGTCTGGCTTCTACTAGCTGCATCTCTATCAGTACTTTGGTCTTCTGAGCTCTGACCAGTAATCCCCCTCAAGCTTACCTTTCACTATTCTAAGGGGCTTTTTAGCTTGCATCTCCAAGCCTTTTCAAACTCCTCCTGCAAACCAGTTCCAAAGATTTGTAAACCACATGGGCAGGTACAGTTATAGTGATATAGGGGGAATAGATGTAACTTTTATACCTATTAGATATCTGAAACGTGAGTTTGCGTTTTTTTTAAATCAAAGAATGAATTTTAGGAACAATAGAGGTTAAAAGTAGGAAAATTTATCGAGAGAAAGCTTCTGACTAAGAGAAACAGAAGGGGGACTGGAAAGTGGGTTGCCCGCCCACCACACTTTTTAAAGGTGTTTTATACAGCAAAGCCATGAGGTGAGTACAAAGTGGGACAAAACTTTAAGACCCAATGGAAATTTACAAGGTGAGCATGAGGCGGGACAAAACTATGACCAACCAATAAGATTATAAATACAGTCACTCAGGTAATATTGATGAAATGGGGATCAAATGGGAAGACAAGTTACATACAGGAATTTCCCATTTTATAATATCAATCACTGCTGTCTCTAAGGGAAGTAGTACCTCTTTTTTTAAAAATAATGCTAACCAGTGAATGTGCCCTGGAGGCCTGGCGCCTTAAGGACTGGGGCTTTGAGGGCTGGCTCCTGAGGGGGGCCCTAACTGCTTATAAAATAGCTATAAAACTTACCTATCTACAATAATAGCAATACCCCTTTTTCTCTGGAACCAATTTTCTGTATTAGCCTTCTCCTTGCTGTGATACAATACTCAAAACCTGCAAGTAAAAAAAAGGTTTAATTTAGGTCATAGTTTCAGGGTGTTTAGTCCATATTCAGCTGGCTTTGAGGCAGAGACATCATGGTGGAAGGATGTGATGGAGCAGAGATACTTGGTTCATGGAAGCTGAGAAGCAGTGCAGGGGAACAGTGTCAGAGAGCAGGGGGTGAGAGACCAGGTATAGACCCAGGGTCACACCTCCATGACCCACCCTACACCCAGAAGTATAAACCAGTACCAAGGAGAATCTCGAAGCAAATCAAGATGACACTTTTCTCTAATGACCACGTTTGGGAACAAGCCCTGGGTTCTTTTATTGAAAAAATATTTTAAGGCCGAGAATCTAGCCTCTAGATTTCAAATATTTCAAGGTCAGTGTTATTGGGGTATCACATACAAAGTCTTTTCTCTAAGTACAGTTCTATAAAATGTATTTGTTGTGTGTGTGTGTGTGTGTGTGTGTGTGTGTGTGTGTGTGGTAACACCTTGGGTTGAGAGTAACTTGCTCTGTGAGTATACCACAAGCTGAGCAAACATTTCTAATAAAATTTATCTTGATAAACAAGTGATGTCTTGCAATATGAGTAGAATGTGATGCTGAATGTCACATGATCATAACTGAGCCAGTGGTTCTTCTCACTCCCTCTCCTTCTCCCTCTTCCTCTCTTGCTGTGGGATTGTAAGTGATCATCTCCCAACAGCAAAAGTTTATAAAGGTGGGCTGGGGATTTAGCTCAGTGGTTCTACCGCCTGCCTCGCAAGCGCAAGGCCCCGAGTTTGGTCCCCAGTACCAAAAAAAAAAAAAGAGTTTATAGAGGAGATCTTGTCTGCAGAGGAGGAGGAG